CACTATTTTTATTACATCAAGGGATTTGAATCCTCCAGGTACAATATGGAAGGCATGGTTGTAGATTTGAAAGATTAAAAAAAACTTTTTTTATTAAAAAAACTTTTGCTTTCCTTTTTGTTTTCTTTTCCCCTTGTAATTAAGGATGTTGTAAATGTCCAAATGGTTTTATGGAGATTAATGATTGATAAAAATATAATTGTATGTGTAGATTTTGTTTTATATTTATTGCAGTTTGGTATCAGTATGTACCCAGATTGGCAACTATTTTTCCTTATGGTTTTTAATTAAGAAAAAAGAAGAAACAAAAGAGACGGAAATGCCATTGTTAGAAAGAATACTTTAATGGAAAAAGAGAGTAATTAAACTTTACAAAAATATGGGGGAGATCATATATACTTTTAAGGGTCGTTTGGTACAAAGGCGGGATATTCCATGGGATTAGTTATCCCACCTTCTATATGGGATAACTAATTCCTCTATTTTAATGTAAAAATTATCTCGCGATTAGCTAATACCCCCTATAAACACTGATATTTTAACATATCAAGATAAATCATAAATTCAAGACAAACTCTTGAATATTTGGAGTTTATTAGAGTTACTTGGTGGCTACTCCACCCAAACCCTAATTCATGCCTATAAATAAGGCTACATATGTCCTTCAAAGACGATATCAGCAATTCCATAAACTCTCGGAATATGCACAACGAGATCAAATATGAGGTCTCCGAAATTCCATAAAACTCTTGGAATATTCATTAAGAGATAAAAGACATGTCAAATATGTCTTGCTTAAAGCCCTACTTTCGAGAAATACACCGCTAAGGCCCTCGAATCACCTAGAATAAATCAGAGGAAAGAATCAAGGAATAAACAAAATTGTAACATGTAACGTTTATTAATAAAATTCTTTTTTTCTTTATAGTTGTTTGTGATTGCAGTTTTATTTTTCTGCCCAAATTTATTGCAAACACCCCCAAACCAAATTAAATATGGAATAAAATTAATCTCAAACCTTATCCCGAGATTATTATTCATATTCCATATACCAAACGAGCCCTTATAGATGATTTAATTAGGGCCCTCGGAGTGGTAGGGTTAAGAAGGCGTGCAAAAACTGCTTATGATTTTGAGTGATAAAAATGTCGAGAAAAGACCATAAAAAACTACAGAACTTTTTTCCTTTTGGTCTCCTTTTAATAGGGGCCTATACAGCCCATGCACCATTTTTCTTTGATTATTAACCTCATATTTTTGAGATTAACTTTAGTTGCCCTAATCATCTTGTCATCTCACATGTTGTCAACTTTGATCTTCTCTGAATCTACGTACACACTTTACTTGCATGCATTGTTTGCATGAGATAGTTCAATTATATCCTATATTGCTCGAACTCTCTGAAAATGTCGCTAGATGTGTCGGATCGTCCAAAAATAGTACACTTTTGGATCGGAGGATCTGACATGGGTGCATCAGCATTTTGAAGAGTTCGCGTTTCTAGGTTTTAGGATATGAGTTCACGTAAACTCATACTTCTCTCCCTAAATCATGTATAATAATATTATATTTCTTCAAAATTACTTAAATATATGTGCGTGCACCCATGCTCAAAGACTCCTATGGTGAAATAATTATCGAGTGCACTTCTATGAATAAAATTGGCGGTTCAAATTCCACTTCGGGCAATCTTATTTTCGGTACAAAGTATAGATATATACGTGAAACTCAATAAAATTTTAAAAAGAATATAATTTTGAACCTATAATTTCAAAAGTGTAGTGTGTTCCTGGTAAAAGACTAAAGTTAAACACGTCAAATGTAAATTCTAGATCCACCTCTTCACGATAGACGATAGTGCACCCATCCTCTTGAAATCACGGATCCGCCTCTCATTTTAAACGACACAATTTTCTTAAGCACGAGTTGATAAATTATAGATGCAGCTTGTTTATTACTCCCTCCGTTTCAATTTATGTGAACCCATTTGACTGGGCACGGAGTTTAAGAAAAGAGAGAAGACTTTTGATCTTGTGGTCTAAAATGAGGCACATATATTATGTGTGGCTATAAATCTTTGTGTAAAGGTAAATTATTTCCGAATAAGGAAAGGGGTCATTCCTTTTGACACGGACTAAAAAGGAAATAGGTTCACATAAATTGAAACGGAGGGAGTAGTAGCAATTGTAGACAACTGTAGCACTTGTATATGATCATGCCATGGCCCTCATTATATAATTTTATGAATTTATGTTTATTCTTTTGATGGATAAAAGGACACCAAGTGGGGTTTTAATTTGTTTGTGGGGTGTGTATGTTTGTGTTGAGGAAGTAGTTGTCCCTACTCAAAAGTGCAGGATCGCACGCATATTTCTCGACTTCTCTACCTTCACAAGGTAGGAATAAGGTTCCTAGACCCCGCTTGTGAGATTACACTAGATTTATTGCTGTTAAAGATTCTATGTCCAAATTCACGCGGTCAAATTTAACTTGTTTGTCTCTGGAAATCTACAAATCGCCACTAAATTGAGATGGAGGTAGTATAAAAAAAGGATGCCTCTTTTTATATTTAATAAGTTTTTAATTTCAACATTCTCATTTTACTCACAATGACACTCCCTTATACGAATAACATGACTTGTTTAAAACCACAAAATTCAATGATATTTTTGATATGTTATACATATCTTTAGTTCAAGACCACAAAATTCAAAAGTCTTCTTTACATTCTTAAACTTCTTGCCCGGTCAAATTAAGACACAAGATGAAAAGAAGGGAGTAATATTATGTAATAAGCATGGTTTGGTAACCCATAAATAATATTAAAAAAATAACATGTTACATGTATAAATTTAAATCCAAAAAGAAAATGTTAAGTCTGTTCAGGGACTATAATGAGTTATACAAAAGTCCAACAACTTATTATTATAAAAAATCATGTGAGAGAAATCATGGAAGCTACCAAATATAAACATCTATAGCTAGACAACATCTCTCTTCATTGTATATATTCATTCAAGCCTCAGTAATATAAAACATGTCATCTCCTTAGAAAAAAATTCTCCTCCTGTCCATTTGTTTCTCCAACTTTCAACATGATAAACTTGGTCAATACATTATTTATTTACTTCTGCTTAACCTTTTTACTGTACAGTAATTACAGCAACAGTGTTAAAGGTTTTACATCACAATGGCCAAGAGGCAGATCAACAAAATTCTATGACTTCAAGGTTTACTCTTGTTTTACCTAGCTACTTTGTTTATTTACTCAGTGGTATTCTTTTATAATCAAAATGTTATTTCTTCTTCTTTTTTTCAGGTGCAAACAACTAGAATAACTAAGCTATGTAACACCAAAGACATTCCAACCATCAATGGAATGTATCCAGGTCCAGCTATTTATGCTCAAGAAGACGATAAAGTTATCGTCAGAGTAACTAATGAATCTCCATACAATATCACAATCCACTGGTGATTAATCACAAACTGTTTCCTTATGTTATTTCACAAACCTTTTTCTTTCAAATTATGGCAAACTTACCTGAGCTTTTGAAGATTTCCTCAGGCATGGAATCCGGCAGAGGCTATCGTGTTGGTATGATGGCCCTTCTTACATTACACAATGCCCCATACAAACTGGACAAAACTTTATGTACGAGTTTACTCTGGTACAACAGAAGGGCACATTTTTCTGGCATGCTCATGTTTCGTGGCTTCGAGCCACTGTTTATGGCGCCATTATTGTTTACCCTAAGAAGGGTGTCCCTTACCCTTTCAAGTTTCCCTATGAAGAGCATATCATCATTTTAGGTACATTGATTCAATGTATAAAGTTGTCTTTTTTCTAGAAGAGCTTAAGTTCTATACATTGACAGTATATTAAATATTTACAAAATCAGCTCATTTGAAAGGTTATTGCAGGCAACTCTATTTAATTTATTGACCACCTAGAGTAAATGGTACGTAACTTGCTATAAAACGTAATCTTACACTGGTAGTGTAAAAAAACTATGCACTTACTGTGTATAAGACGTAAGTCCTTTTTGGAATAGGAATGTTATCAAGAACTATTTTCTCAATAACTTATCCAAAAACAATCTTATTTCCAAAGAGTTTTTTAGATGATTTAACTTATATACACGGACTTCCTGAAACTGTTTTACTGTTCTCAAACTTGGGAATATACAGGAGAGTATTGGATGAAAGACATCATGCAAGTTGAGCAGGCAGTTCTAGCTAGCGGTGGAGCGCCCCCACCTGCTGATGCTTTTACCATCAATGGCCACCCCGGCCCTAACTATAATTGCTCCGCTAATGGTAAATTTGACATCCATTACTCAACTTTTACTTCAAAACTTTTAACTCAAAGAAGAAGGAAATATGATTAAGCTTCTCCCATTAATGGGAATATTTGTTACTTTTAAACCTCTCATGTTAGCTAAAAGTGTCATGATTTGTTTCAGATTTTTATAAAATAGATGTGGTTCCTGGGAAGACATACCTGTTAAGGATAGTCAATGCAGCTTTGAACCAGGAGCATTTCTTTGCCATTGCAAATCACAAGTTGACAATCATTGAAGTTGATGCAGAGTACACAAAGCCATTGACAACGGACCGAGTCATGGTCGGTCCAGGTCAAACCCTAAATGTCCTAGTCGCTGCCGATCAACCCATAGCAAGATATTCAATGGCCATGGGACCTTACCAATCTGCTAAGAATGTCTCATTTCAAAACATATCATCAATTGCTTACTTCCAATATTATGGTGCCAGAGAAAACGACTTAAGTTTATCTGCAGCTTTACCGCGTTTTGACGATAACCTTGCAGTTAAGACAGTCATGGACGGGCTTAGAAGTCTTAATCCTGTAGCTTTTCCTAAGGAGATTGACAAAAACCTATTCTTGACAATTGGACTAAACGTGCAAAAATGCCGGTCCAAGAATCCCCAAAAAGATTGCCAAGCTAAAGGGGGTGGAGTCATGGCTGCTTCAATGAATAACATCAGCTTTATTAAACCTAACATCTCAATTTTAGAAGCTTACTACAAGAAAATCAATGGGTACTTCACTCAAGATTTTCCCGGGGTACCCCTGAAGTTCTATGATTTCGTGAACGGGGCACCTAATAACGCTCCTAATGACACAAATTCTCTAAATGGAACTAGAACCTATGTCCTTGACTATGGGACTAGGGTTCAACTTATTCTACAGGACACCGGAACTGTCACAACGGAGAACCACCCTATTCATTTACATGGCTACAGCTTTTATGTTGTGGGCTACGGTACCGGAAACTATGATCCGGAAACAGCCAACTTCAATCTGGTAGATCCACCATACATGAATACAATTGGAGTTCCAGTAGGTGGATGGGCTGCCATTCGATTCATTGCTGACAATCCAGGTAATAATTTTTAGAAACTAAATTTCATGTCTTTATTATTACAGTCTATTGTACTAAACTCATGGTTGGACCATTTTCATGTACAGGGGCATGGTTTATGCACTGTCATTTGGAGATACATTTATCTTGGGGCTTATCGGTGGTGTTCATTGTGAAGAACGGGGACGGGCCACTAGAAAGACTTCCTCATCCTCCAGCAGACTTGCCCAAATGCTAGTAGATATATATGTGTTTATTGGGGTTGAGGTTGATAACAACAATTATGGATGGTTTATATTTTTTTCTATTGGAGATTCTTTGACCAACCAAGTGTGCAAGCCTATACATTGCTCTTTTTCTTTTTTCAAAGAATTGGCATTTGTTGAGATTTCCAAGTTTTTTTATTGAAATCGGGACTTGTCTTTCCTGTTCATCCATTTGCCTTTAACATCATGAAAAAGCTGCCCTTATGCGGCATATATACACATGACATAGGCAATCTATGCCCCTTCCTACTCCCCACAAAAAGTAAAAAATAAAAGAAAGAAGTGGACGGTAGGATATATGAACACAGGAAATTGGAAAACGATTAATCATTAATAGGAAATACAATAAAAAGCCAAATGGTAAGTATGAGAACCGACTCCGAGAAGCTGGCTGGCAGCTTACTAGGAACAAAAACTGTGAAGTCCAAACATACCATTAGATGGTAGATAATAAACTTATTACCTTAAGCACTCAGCTTTAACATTTCCTTCAAAGCACAACTGGCAAGTGCTTAGGAGAAGCATTTGTTCATTCAAATTGTCACAAGAGACAACGATACAATGGAAAGAATACCAGGGACCACAAACAGAAACTGAAGCATTAGAGGTTAGGATGAGGTACCTTAGTACGCATGTGCTTCAAATTCAGCTGATTGATTTCATCAGGAACTGTGAAATCTCATTAGATTAGTATTCGCATTTTGACACCGTCATTATATAACAATACAGAGAGAATAGATATTTTTATTTCATCAGATTCAACAGCCTTGATTGATGATGCAAAGCATCATAATGGATTAAACCCAGAACAACTTGGTAGTACATCATACTACAGAAACCAAGAAATGAACAATGATTATATATAATACTTAACTAGAGATTTAAATTCAGCGAGTTTTGGGAATCTAAAATAGGCTTTACTTAAATTCCATTCTACCAACAAATCCATAATGAATCCACAAAGGAACAAGTTATATCTCACATTCTAACGACTGAAGAAATCCCTTGAGGAGAAGGATAAAAGAGTGTCTAGAAACTTGACTGACTACATAACTTGCATGGCTGATACGACTTAACTCCCACTATGACACACAATTTGGCAGATAACTAACTAAAATTATATAAATAGGCCCTTTAATTTTACATAGAGGAATAATCACCTAGCATGCCCTTCCTTGGGGACGCTTCTTGCTAGAATGAGTATTCCACAATCTCATTAAACAAAGTCGCAGTCCCTTTTTTAAGCTTCTGATTGGCATAACCTGAAATACTCATTTGCACAGAAGTTTTGCAAGCAATATCGCGCTCAAATCATGGATCCGTATAGTACAATCAGAAGTAGAGCGCACTGAGGGAGCAAGAGAAGAATACTGGAGGTCTTTGTAGACAGGTATGCAAAACCATGACTAATCTGATTAATAAAATTTTCACACCTGAATTTCCTGTCTCTTATGATTCTGACATCAAATTTCTATAATGTAATGGTAGATCGTATTACATATGAAACGCTGTATTTTAGTTTATTTAGTCAAATAGAACAACGTTCCTCTCAGAATGATGTCAATAGTACTAAAAAGATTCATTACGGTCCATATGCCAATAGTATGATTGGGGTTTTGAACCAGCAATAGTTCAAGCATAATCCATGGGATGACAAATCAAATATCATGGGTTGACTCTATTTTGTGTCCAAAAGTTCTCACCATTGACACTTTGTCCGGCCGTAAATGACAGCCTGTCATTACTCTTCAAATTCAGATAATCAACCTGTAAATAACACAAATACGAAAAAGTTACAGAGGTGATATTCTCGTCTGTGCGAATTACATGAACAGGGAAAACCCGCACCTTCTCAGGGTCCAAAATTAGAAGGCAGAATGCATCAACTGGACCAGCCGAGGGATCCAATGAATCGTGTGATGGTTGTTCATCTAGAGAAGGAATCCCTGGAGTAAGCCCCAAATACTGTAGTCTTGATCTCACCGAACCAGCAAACCAAGCTGCCTCTCTTTGCTGAATTGTTCTTATCAGAATATAAAGAAGAAAATATACTATTTACTAATAGAAAAATTGAGGCAGAAAGTTTAATTACTGTGTCAAGTTGATGAGTCAGTTCTCTATTTTATAGAGATCAACACCACATATAGTGAGATCTCTGCTTTATACTATCAAAATCTTTACATATACATCGCATCTCATTACTTGACCGGTTATGAAGCTAATGTCGTTTGAAGTAACTGGCATTGTCGATCACTTTCTAAAATATCCAGGACTGATGAAGTAACTTGCTTTTATGCAGTCTTGTACCCGGTTATGCTGATTATATTCTTAACATTTGGAATTAACGACAGAATTAAATGCATAAACTGAACAATGAGTTTTGCAGATAATTCAAGGATATCTAGCGCTGAAGTATGCAAACAATAAATTTTGTTGAAAGCGCTGCTACTATTCCACGGTGAAACGAAAGAAATCTTAATACAATCAGAAAGGCATGGTAATTCGACATAGCCAAGTTCTGAATGCATTGGAGCTTTAGCACAGCTTAAAACCGGAGAATTAGGCCTTACTCCAGATAGAGGCATGTTTTAGGTATATTACTTGCAGAACAAAAACAAATTCATGAACTCTCATAGGAATAGGTAAAAATGCACGACATGGTAAAGATTTGCTGGAATTACCTTGAGCTTATCTGGGTCAGAATTTGATGCATCAATCATATCTACTCGTCCATGAATTCGGAATTGTTCCCAAGTTTCAGTGAAATACCAGCATACCTAAGTCATTACCAGATTTTGTTCAAACGACGTTGGAGTAATTACAGAACATTTCAGTTTTTGCAAAAGGTCGGAAGGGAAGCAACTCTGTTGTGCATTTACAAATCAAGCACTAAGGCCAAATTGACAAGCCATAAGAAAAGAAGGAGCTGAATCATATTATATTTATCCTCAGTAACACTGAATTAAAAATGTTCAAAACTTCAAATACCTCTGCGAATGGGCAATGCTTAAGTTCTTCAATCTGCACTGGTTCAAGTAAACTGGCATCAGTTCTAAGCAAGATTCACAACTTAAATTGAAAAAAGAAACTAAACAATCATTTATACTCCTTCCGTCCCATTTTATGTGACGATTGTTTGTATGACCATGGACTATAAGATATTTATGTGATTTATGTTAAATTAATGATAGTAGAAGATAATATTAAAATTTACCGAAAAAGCTAGTTTGACAGAGATGACATCATGTTAACAACAACAACTATTATGTCCCAGTCCCAAACAAATTGGGGTCGGCTATATAAATCCTCACAACCATGTTCCCTAAACTCCGCCAGTGAGAGCTTGCTCGCATTCCCAGTAGGCTGACAGCCAGCGTAAAACTAGATAATTCATAATTAATCCTCACAATACAGATACCATCATATTAAAGAGTTTTAAACTTTGAATAGTTTATATGAATTCTTGAAAGTAGCAAAAGTTTATAATAAAAAAAATTAAAAAGGGTGTCAAAATTTTAAACTTTTTAATACAGACCTTGCGGCTTCGTGAGTCAGTATTAATTTGAATCTTGTTAGTACCATCTTGAAACCCTCTGCAAATAAATAAAAAAAAAAAAACTCAATGGAATGGAAAAAATCTCTGAATTTAGCATTATTATAAGCTTAAAAGGCTGAAAACGGACCTGAAGACAACAGTTCGATTAGAGGGTCGGCCATTGGATCCAACAGTTGCCTAATAATAACAGAAGCAAAATTAGATCATAAAGAACTGATTTTTTGGTAAATTGTATTTAAATAATTAAGTAAAATTTGGAACAAAAATGAAGGGATTTTACGAGCTGAAAGTAGGTGGAATGCTTAAGATGGGAATTGGAGCTGAGGGACTTGAGAAGAAGCTGCTTCCATGGCGCTGTTGCAGAGCTACTCATTTTCGGATTATTTTTATTTTGTATTTTTCAGGGAAAAAGAAAATGGTAAGAAGCAAAAATATTATCCGGCTATTTTTTTAATTGTAGCATTCAATGTTAAATAATTACTCCAAGATGGGTTATTTTTGAATTATTATATAATAAACTAATATTCTTATAGGATTTTTTATTTAAATATTTATATAGGATATGGCTTTCTATTTCTTTTATTGGATATGGCATAATACTCATTTCAATTTTTTTTTTAAAAATTTATATCTTTTATGGAGTATAACTTTTTAAATTTATTTAAAGTTTTTTCTTGGCATATTTTTTATTTAGCTTAATCATGAATACGTACAGTATATTTATTAGTTTAGTACATTTGAGGGAGTGAATTATGGTCTGTTAAAAATTAGTCGACTAACGATGATTTTAATTGGCTAGATCGAGAGAAGAATATAAAATAACAATGAAATGAAAGAGAATGACAAACAGCGATTTTATACTGGTTCGGTACCGGTGTGGTACTTACATCCAGTATCCCTTGGGTCACAAGGGTTCCCTTTAGGTCTTGATAATATTACACCAAGGATGGTTTTGATTCGTTCACCGCCAACGAAGTATAGCAACAATGAAACTCTAATAGTGACACAACTCTCTTTTGTATTCTAGCTCTTCCTATCTTTTGAGACACTGGTAAACTAAAGATTACAGTGTGTAGGCTAAGAAGTAGACAGACTTAGAAAACAGTGTGTGTAGTTGCGCAAGTCTTCCATTTGAACTTAGCAAACTTCTTATAGGAGAGAAAAGAGTCGTTGATTCTTGATCAAAAATAGAGGCACGAGATCTTTAAAAGGATTTTGACCCAAAGGGTGCCTCTTCGAATCCTGCTCTTGGGAAGGACCGGATTCGATCGTGAATTTCCTTATCACAACTTTCATTCACGAGACAATCAAGCCTTTGATTGAGCTTAATCAAGGATACTGAATATTTGCTGGCAATAGCTCCTTGATTTGTAATCTGATTTCCTTGATTAAGGCCGAATATATCTGCAGATTTTTTATTCCTTCTTCAGATCCATTGATTTAGCAATCACATCTTTCGATAGCTTCTCATTGGTTTTCTTTCCTTTTGATGATTCCTGCAAAACAAAGTAAGTGAACATTATCATCATTGAAACCTTGTANGACTATTTATATTTTGGAGTAAGTTAAAATATAAAATAAAACTAAAATTTACTTAAGATATTAACGATTTATCTATATCTATATTATATTTAAAAGAGAGTAGTATCCATTATGGTTAAGCCAAGTGGCAAGCTAAAATGAAGCCATTTGGCAATTGTAGGACAACATTAATTATTAGAAATTATAAATGGAAACATAATTAAAGGAAGTAATTTAATGAATCTTATACATAATCTAAATGTATCTTAGACAAATCTAATCTATATATCTGTAATTAAATTTATATGTATATTTGTATCTATATCTATATTTATATCTATATCTATATTTATATATTGATCTACCAATAAATTTTTCTATATTAGCTAGAAATATGGAGGTGAAAAATTAACTAAAATTTATAATAGAAAAAAATAAAAATATATAAAGACGTAAATTGAGATAACCTATAACTATTTATACTTTGGAGTAAGTTAAAATATAAAATAA